TGCCTCGCCAGAGAAGAGCGCAATGATGGTGCCAACTTGGGCCAGTGAAGCAACGTCCTCCACAACTAGATTGAAGAACAAAACGACAGCAACTTGCCTGTTCCCCTTTCCCCAATTCCCCAGCACTGTTCCCATCCCCCCAATTCCCCAATAAAAATCTTTAAAAAAAAAAAAAAAGGGGGCAGAGGACCTGAATAGACATTTCTCCAAAGAGGACATACAGATAGCTACTAGACATATGAAATGATGCTCAATGTCACTCTTCATCAGAGAAATGCAAATAAAAACCACAATGAGATACTACCTCACTCCTGTCAGAATGGCTATTACCAGTAAATCAACAAACAACAAGTGTTGGCGAGGATGTGAAGAAATGGAAACCCTTGTGCACAGTTAGTGGGATTGTAAATTGGTGCAGCCACTATTGAAATCAGTACTGAGGTTCCTCAAAAAACTAAAAATAGAACTTATGACCCAGCAATTCCACTTCTGGATATTTATCCGAAGAAATCCAAAACACTAATTCGAAAAGATATGTGCACCCCTATGTTCACTGCAGCATTATTTACAGTGGCCAAGATATGGAAGCAACCTAAGTGGCCATTAATACACAATTGGATAAAGAACATGTGGTATACCGTATTTCCCCATGAATAAGACACACCCTTTTCCTAAAAATTTGGGGTCTAAAAACTGGGTGTGTCTTATACAGTGGTTGTAGATTTTTTTTACTTGCATTTCCTGCTTTTTCCGCGCTTGTTTTTGTGCTCATACAACCACTGTATAAGACGCACCCAGTTTTTAGACTCCAAATTTTTTGAAAAAGGGTGCGTCTTATACATGGGGAAATACGTGTGTGTGTGTGTGTGTGTGTGTGTGTGTGTGTGTGTGTATAGTGGCATATTACTCGGCCATAAAAGAGAATGACAACATGGATAGACCTAGAGAGCACTGTGCTAAGTGAAATAAGTCAGACAGAGAAAGACAAATACCATATGCTTTTGCTCATATGTGGAAATTAAAAAACAAAATATAAGAACAAAATAAAAACAAGCTCTGATACAGAGAACAAACTGATGGTTACCAGATGGGAAGGGGGTTGGGGAGTTGGGTGAAAAAGGTGAAGAAATTAAGAAGTACAAATTGGCAGTTACAAAATAGTCATGGGAATGTAAAGTACAGCATAGGGAGTATAGTCATTAATATGGTAATAACTATGCATGGTGTCAGGTGGGAATGAGATTTATTGGGGTGATCACTTCATAAGTTATATAAATGTCTAATCACTATGTTGTACACCTGAAAGTAATATAATATTGTATGTCAACTGTAATTGAAAACTAAATTTAAAAAAGAGATAGTCATGCCTGTTAGCCTATTCTAAACTCCGTTAGTATGGGAAGGGATACCTTCAGAAGACAAACAGTAAAGTGTGAGCCAGCTGCTAGTCTCTTGCTTATCTCTGCAAAGAAAGTGCTCACAGTGTCCTGGGAGTTTGTTTCTCTGAGGTTGTACAATCAACTGGGTACTTTTAAAAAAGCCCAGAGGGTCTTGGTGTAAAACTCCCTTTCCTGCATTTCCAGCAGCTCCCCTGTAATAGCCACCTGCCCCCGTCAGTCCTTGGCTGAGTGCTTCTGCATCCTTACAAGCAAAGGAATCAGCACTAGACCACTGATTTAAGAAGGAAACAAGGTTGCATGGAGATAATACATGTTAGTCAAGTCCTACTTCTCAGTTGTTTTGAAATAACGTATTTCCATGCCCCTTTCTGAAATAGGTGATCTTGTATTGTACCAATAAGATAATAAAGATAATCCAAGGTAGATGAGGCCCTATAACCCTAATTGATACAACAGCTCTTGAGTGCTACACAGAATCTCAAAATGCCGTTTTAGATTCAACAGTAACATGTTAGCTTGAATCCAGATCCTCTCTCTATAGTTTACCCCTCAGTTGAATTTTAAAAGTGTGGGCTGGAGTACAGGGTCAGTCCAGCAGGGCCACTGGACAGTCAGACAGTGCAGCACTGCGACGGCAGAATAGCTAGCCAACGGTCTGGTCCAGATGTGTGCTGTGATGTGCAGGTAGGGCAACAGTTTAGCTTACCCACGAATTTACTAGGACACCATCTGGTCTTTCTAGAAGCCAAGTTAACACAGAGGAGCCCTTTAGATATGCTAATGACTTTTGAACTAGTGAATAGAATCAGTAAGAAGGGGCTGTGGGAATGGAGAACATAACCTTCAGTTTACATAGAGCTTTGTGTTTTTAAAAAGTCTCTCATCCTAACCTTACTAACCATTGTCACTCCAATAAACTTTAATTAAAAAAAAGAGAAAGATTAAAAAAAATAAAAATAAGAAATAAAAAATATGAAAAAAACCCCACCTTCTTTCATCCTAACCTCAGTCTGACAAAGTAGATGGATTATCACTGTCAACATCTAAGAGGAGGAAATGGAGGCTTAAATAGTGTTACTCTCTTCAAATAACCTAAGGAAGAACCTAAGGAAGAGTGAAATCAATGAATATTTATTAGGGACATTTTGTTCTCTTTTAGCCAAACAGCCCCAGAGGATGGGTACCATTATTGCACCTTTATAAAGCTGTGGAAGTTGAGACTGAGTAGCAATCTGTGACAAAGCTACTAAGTGGCAGGGCCAGAATGTGAACCCAGGTCTTTTGGACTTCAAAGTCCATGCTTTATTTAGCACACTGATAAAGCCTGTGAGGTTGTCACAGTGAATGTAACTGGACAAGAGTTCCTGATGTGAGTCTCAGCCCTCGTGAAGACATGGGTTATCTGAAACCCATTTAAGAAATTGATATGTGGCATATGGACAACGTGCAGGCTATGGAGTCAGAGGTCTGTATTTAAATCCCAGCTCTACTAATTTCTAGCTGTGTGACCCTAAGCAAGTTAGCTTACCTCTCTGAGCTTTATTTTCCTCATCTGTCAAATGGATAAAAGGATCTTAACCTCATAAAGTTGATGTGAAGATTAAAATAACACTAACACAGTTCTTGGCACATCAACAAATATTGGTTATCCTTCTCCATAAAAATATTTGTCCAGGAAGCAGACGAGTTACAGAACAGGGGCAGACAAGGTCCCTCACTGGCGAGAGAATAAATACAGAAACACAGAATGGAAGGCACATCCCAGTCTCCATTTGCACAGGCAGCCCTTACAGATGATCACAGCTCAAGGATCCCCTACTTCAGGGAGACTTCTCTGGCCTTTAGAGTCTGGCTTAAGGTCCTTCTCAGCTCCCACAGAATGCTGTTCACCCTTATCTCGGCACTCAGTCTACTGTGTTGTAAGTCTGTCTCTTCACACATCTGTTTTCTCCTTAGATAATAAGTAAGGCCCCTGCTTATCACAATATCTGGGGTAAGGAAGAAGCTCAAAACTTTCTGCTGAGTAGAGAGATGGAGGGAAAAGAACTGATCCATCCCAGTAACAGTGTGTTGGATAAGATTAAAAACAAGTTTATAGTATTTTCTTACCTTGACTGCATAGTTATTAAGTGGATCTTTTGCATATGAAGCTGTGTAGTAGACAGCATCTCCTGCCTCACAACATGGCTTGTCACTGGTGAGCCTGAAATCTGACCAGCTGTCCACCCCAAAACGGAGCTGGTCTTTCTGCCCAGCCATGAAGACATCTTCGCATTTAACAGCCAGTTTCTTCAAGGCATCTGTATGAAGGCTTCGGATTTTTCCCACCACTTCTTCCTGATTCTCAAGTCCTCGATAAAATGCTTGTCGCTGTGGCTTCTGGATGCCCCGGGCCTGTCTGCAGGAGGGACCACGCCGACTGGACAGGGACTCCATGCTGTTAGAAAATCTGTCCTTAACACTGACAGTGGCTAAGCTGGAGATGCTGTTTGCTGCTGAGGGGACAGGGCGCTCCTTGTGCAAAGGTCTGTCCAAGGAGTCATAAGACTCAAGGTCCAGTCCCTTGAGTTCATAACTGATGGAAGAGCTAGCACTGCTGGTATCCCAGTTGGGGTCGATATCGTAGGTAGGATTAGCCATGACACAAAGACTAGTTTCCATGGGTTTTTGGAGGTCTTTGGAGATTGGCTCTGTATTGGCTCTTACGATCATTTTCTTTGGCAGTGGGGGTGGTGTAGGTTGGGAATCATTAGGTGCTTCTTGGTCTGTTTTCCCACCAAAGGTAATGGCATCATCCAAAACTCCCTTAGGCTGCCGTGGATACTTCGGAGGTATCATAGCTGCTCTAGATTGCCCTGGATTGTTTGAAAAGAAAGAAAGAAAAAAAGAATATGTAAGTAAAGTTTTCTTTATTGTTACGTAATTAAAACTTAAGCAGAAAGGAGTGAGATGGCCATAAGAATGTAAGAAGTCAATGCTTTAATTCAAAATTGTAGAAGAAAAAAAACAATGAACAGCTAACTATTAAAGGTAGAGCCCAATACTCCGTGGGTGCAACAAATGGGAACAATGTCTCAACATTTCTGTGCCAGAGGAACAGGGTGATGGGCTTTGTTTTCAAGAAGGAACCCAGAGTCTCTGCTCCTGACTGTAAGAGTGCTGTATTCACCCCTCTAGAAAGCTAAGGAGGGACAGACACTAAAACAACTGCATTGTGACAGAGCAGAGATAACTGCATTTGTGGGTAAAAAAAACTTGGGAGCATTATTAACAATTGAAACTAGACCATTAGAAATAATGAGACCACTAGACGGGTGCTCAGAAGATACTATTCTGTTCTTTAAAATTATTCCAAAGTTACATTGTATTGTAACTTTGTCATTTTCAATCCAACATATATGAATACAATTTCATAAACCACGTTCATTTACTTCACTACAGAGATGGATTCTGGCACTGCTTAAACTGTTCTGTGGATAAGATCCCTGTGATTGTGGTCAGGGGACAGTGTATACGAGCAGTCAATTGCTATTCCAAATATCCTTCACAAACTCTTACATGATTCTGTTTTATTGGGGTGGGGACACATAAACTGTGATTTGAGAGATGCTACTTTTGAACATCTCTTATAAGCCCCAGTTATAGAACCAATCATCTCTGCTTCCTTTGCAGTATTTATGCTTAGAAGATAAAACACATGTGCATGATCAATGACACCTTCAGGGCTTATTGTATATTGGGTAAGGGGGATTATTTTTTTAAAGATGGAGAAATATACCATGAAACTTTTATGAAAGCTATTAAAATTAGTAATGTCACTGAGGCCTCTACTCAGTACCTCAGAGTTAGAGCATAGTGCTCTGTTACGGATTGAAATATGTTCCCTCTCCCAAAATATGTTCAAGTCCTAACCCCTGATACCTGTGAATGTCACCTTATTTGGAAAAAGGGTCCTTGTAGAGGCCATCAAGTTAAGATGGAGTCATTAGGGTGGGCCCTAATACAACATGACTGACAGACACACAGGGAGAACACCATGAGACATTCTGAGAGGCAGAGGCTAAGTGATGCAGCTGCCAGCCAAGGAGGCCAGGACTGTGGTCACCACCAGATGCTAGGGAGAGATAGGGAGAGTTACACCCTGTCCCAGAGGGGACATGGCCTTGCTGACACCTTGATCTCAGACTCCCAGCCTCCAGAACTGTGGAAGAATAAATTCCCCTTGTGTTAAGCCACCCAGCTTGTGGTGCTTTGTTACAGCAGCCCTAGGAAACGAATACATGCTCCAATTGATGATCAGACAGACTAGAAGGCACTGATGGTCCTGGGGATGACAATGAATAAAGATGGCAGTTTGATTAAAAATATGTCCTTGTAGCAATGCCAAGGGTAATCACCAATATAAACTTTGATTGGAATACCAATATATTCCACTTTCCATGCATACAACTCAGCTCAAGAATACCTAAGAATTTATACAAACTATGGCAATATATGCAGCAAACTGAAGGACCCTGCTTCTCCATCAACAGCATGTAGCAATTTTTAAAAGGATTAGAGCGACATTACATGCATATATAAACAAAAAATATGTATGTATAGACAGCATGAGAATGAGAGAAAAAATAATGAGAATGCTAAGCTCCAAAGGGATCAGGACTTCTGTAATTATTTATTGTTGTTTTCTTTATGTCAAGAACAGGGCCTGCATATAACAGATGCTCAATAATATTTCTTGAATGACTAGAGGAATAAATACTTAGGGCTGAAACATAAAAAGTAGTAAATTTGTACAGGTACCTATAATAAGAAAAGACATTGAATTGTGATGTAAAGAATTCCCAAAAAGAAAAGTCCATGACCATATGGCTTCATTGATAAATTCTACAAAAGATTTAAGGAAGTATTAAATCCAATCCTTCACAAACTCTTCCAAAAAGTAGAAGTGAAGGGAACACTTCCCAACTTGAAATGTGAGGCCAATATCACCCATGTACAAAAACCAGACAAAGACTTTATAAGAAAACTAGAAACTAATATCCCTTATGAATATAGACACAAAAATCCTCAAATAATGCTACCAAACTGAATCCAGCAACATATAAGAAGGACTATATGCCATGACAAAGTTGTATTTATCCCAGAAATGCAAGGTTGGTTTAACATCTGAAAATCAGTCAATGTAATATATTAATACCATGTAAACAGAATAAAGCGGGGGAAAAAACCCTCACATGATCACCTCAATAGATGCAGAAAAAGCATTTGATAAAATTCAACATTTCTTCATGATAAAAACATCAAACAAACTAGGAAAAGGGAACATCCTCAAACCTGATAAAGGGTACTTACAAAAAACAAAGAGCTAATATCATACTTCATGGTAAAAAACTAGATGTTTCCTGCTGAAAATCAGGAACAAGACAAGAATCTCCATTCTTATCACTTTTTTCTACACTGTCTTAGAGGACCTAGCAAGGAAATTAGGAAAGGAAATGAAAAATAAAAAGAACAATAGAAAAGAAGAAAAACGATCTCTATTCACAGGTGACATTAATTATACATATAGGAAAGCTAAAGAATCCACCAAAAAAACATTAAAACTAATATACCAGTTCAGCAAGGTGGCTGATTATAAAATCAATATAAAAACCAATTGATAAAAATCAATTGCATTTCTATACATTAGCAAGGAACAATAAAAAAATTAAGAAAACAATTCCATTTACAATATCATCAATAATAATGAAATATTTAGGAATAAATTTAACGAAAGAAGTACAAGACTTACACACTGAAAACTATCAAACATTGTTAAAGGAAATTCAAGATTAAATAAATGGAAAGATATGTTATGGATGAGAGACTTCATATGTTAAGATGGAAATACTCCCAAATTAATCTACAAATTTAATGTAATCCCTATCAAAATTCCAGCTGGCTTTCTTGCAGAAATTGACAGGATGATCCTAAAACTCATATGAAAATACAAGGGATCTGGAGTGGCAAAAAAAAAAAAAAAAAAATCTTGAAAAAAAAGAGAACAAAGTTGGAGAATGCCCATTTCCTGATTTTAAAACTTACTTCAAAACTACAGCAATCAAAATAGTGGGGTACTGGCATAAAAATGAAAGCATGGAGGAATGAAATAGAATTGAGAGCCCAGAAATAAACCCTTATATTTATGGTCAATCAATTTTGAAAAAAACACCAAGACAATTCAATGGGGAAATAGTCTTTTCACCAAATAATGTTGGGACAGCTAGATATGACAGGCAAAAAAATGAAGTTGGATGTCTACTTCATACTATACACAAAAATTAATTCAAAATGTTCTATCAAAGATCTAAATGTAAGAGCTAAAACTATAATACTCCTAGAAGGAAACACAGGAACAAGTCTTTTTGACCTTGGATTAGGCAATGGTTTCTTAGACATGACACCTAAAGCACAAGTGATAAAAGAAAAATTAAATAAATTGGAGTTCATAAAATTAAAAACTTTTGTTCTTCAAAGGACAATTTCAAGACAGTGAAAGGACAACCCACTGAATGGGAGAAAATATGTACAGATTACATATCTGGTAAGAGACATGTATTCAGCATTTATTAATAACTCTTACAATAAAAGATAATAAAGCGTTCAAAGTGGGCAAAGGATTTGCATAGACATTTCTCCAAAGAAGATATATACGCAAATGGCCAGTAAGCAATGGCAGAGATGCTCATTACTCATTAGATAAATGTATGCCAAAACCATGCAACCCCACTTCAAATCCACTAAACTAGTTATTATAAAAAAGACAGACAAGTGTTGGTGAGGATATGGAGAAATTCAAATGGTTATACATTGCAAGTGGGAATTTAAAACTTGTACACAAATGTTCATAGCAACATTACCCATAATAGCCAAAAAGTGGAAACATCCTACATTTCCATCAATTGATGAATGGATAAACAAATTGTAGTATAGTCATACAAGGGAATACTATGTAGCCATTACAAAAAATGAAGTACTGGATTTTCTGGTCAAGTTGGTGGAGTAGATCAACGCTATGCTCACCTCCTCTCATGACCACATCAAAATTACAACTAAACTACAGAACAACCATAATTGAGAATTGTCTGAAGTCTAGCTGAACCAAAGCCCTACAACTAAGGATATAACAGAAGAAGCCACTTCAAGACTGGTAGGAGGGGCAGAGAGACAGAACAGGCTGGTCTCACACCTGTGTGTGACCATTAAAAATTGAGCAGGATATCTTGGCTGTGGAGGATCCCCAACCCCAAGGAGCAAGAGGTCCCAGCCCCAAACCAGGCTCTTCAGCCCAAGGTTCCACTGCAGGAGACAGAAGTCCCCATAACTTCTGGCTGTGAAAACTAGTGGAGATTATGGCTGAGTGAGATGGAGGGTGGCTCGAGTCCCAGGCGCTCCTATTAGACCTGCGCACAGACTTACTTGCTAACAGACTCACTCTGAGCTCCAGTGCTAAGGCAGCAGCTCAAAAGGCACCAGGGACATATGGGGAGCAACTGAGTGGTCTGGTTTCAGGATGAGGGCTCAAGGGGCAGCTTTCTTCCAGACAGAAGAGCTGGAAGAAACCATTGTTTCTTCATTGAGCCCTCCCCCTCCTGGCATGCAGACATGGGTGCTGCCATATCTGAGAGTCCATCAACCTGGCTACCACCTTTTGTTGACTCTGCCCCTTAGGTGATTCCCTAAAACCCTAACCCACCCAACTTGCAGGCCCACCCAAGAGGCTCCCACTGACTTTTCCATCCAAACGGCCTGTCTTGGCTCATGTTGCGGATTTTCCTAAAACCTCTCAAAGGCTCACAAAATCCAAACAAGCAGC